CTTAGTTGCATTTTTATTTCTTTTATCAAAAAGTAACCTAATTTAGACTTAACCTGGTTGTTGCGAGGCAGAACTTCTGGATTCTAAACTAAGTTCTGACTAATTATTTTATAAATAATCAAACCGTCCTACAAGGAATTAGTTGAAAAGCCTATCCTACTTCTGACTTCGCACAAAACGTGTACTAACAGAGCCAGATCCCTAAAGCCAAGTCTCTATGTGTACAGATCAATTTCAAGTATTTCATGAATTTTGAATTATTAGCGTTGTCTGAACGACAAAGCTACAAACTCCATACTGAGTATTACTCTAGCATAAGTTAATATGTAAATTATATTTGTAAACAAATTAATATATTTAAAAAATACTAAAAAAAACTCATTCACCTCGAACAGTATCTGAAATATCGATCCTCTTTTCTGGCTCATCAGGATACTGGTAGGAATTAGCGAACTGAATAGAATGAGAGAGATCAGCAACAGAATATTCTCGCATCGGTGGAGGAAGAGCCTCTTTTATTTGTGTAAAACCAACTATGGGCAACTTGAAGGAAGGGCCAATTTCAAGAGAAATTTTCCAGCCACGTTGGGCAACGGCTCGCAGTTCAAATTTACTTAACGCGGATACAACATCTCTATATAGTTTTAAAAAAGTAATTAAAACAAATTAATGCATGGCTAAATACTCCTGAAAAATTCTGAATATGAAATCCCCACTAGGTTGCAAATAATGGTAAATACGGGATTTAAAAGTGCGAACAATGGTAGCAAGATATTAGGATACAATATCAAATATAATGTGATCTTACTCAAATTCGTAGCTGTCACCATCCAATTCCAGTAATAGTTTTTTGAAACAACTCAAGGCTGGGGTCTTCTTTGCTTTCTGTGAAGGTTCATCATATGACAACTGAGGATTTTCACTGGCAGTGTGGTTAGTACAATCACCCATTTCAAGGCTATGCTTAGGGATGTGCATTCCTAATAAGCTAAGCTGAACATCAGCTCTACGAATGTTTGTAAGTATTTTATCTAAATCATCCTCACATACTTCACCTTGAAGATTGGAAACCAGAAGAACGCGTTTTTCCTTAATGTCTTTGTTAGATCTTCCCCAATAACGTTCAAATGAGCAAATTTACCTGCAAGATTTTGCCAAATAAGCGACG